CTCCCAAGCGGCGCACTGTAGCAGTGCGCCACCGGGCCGGCCCCCAAATTTTTATTTTCAATAGAATTATTAATCACTATTTACACACGCATTCCAGTATGGATTATTCATGGTTACTGTGATCTATGTAGAGTGACCAGTGTTGATTTTAGTGGATTGGAAGCTGATGCTGCATTGATGGGCTAGAATGCATCCTGCAAAGCCTTCCTTAGAGCTTTGGATGGAGATCCTCAGCTAATTCTCCTGCAAGATCCCTGTCGTCTTTATCGTGAGATGATCACTTGTTTGTGAGGTCTTCGATCTTGATTCATAGATTTAAATATATTTGTATATATTCAGCATTTGTGGAACATTCCTTATTTCCTGCAGATGAACCTGGTTGTTGTAAACATTTTTACTATGGAAAAATTCAGGGTCATAAAAAATAATAACTAAGTAGTATAATGCACCCCTGTGTACCCACCATCACCTTTGACATTTTTGATGCTCTTCCACTCTTATTTCAATTACATTTCCATCTTTTGCCATGTCCCACTACATTATTATTGCTACTTTTCAATTCTTAGAGGTGAAATTTATATACTTTGAAATGCAGAAACCTAGCTGTAGGGTTTTGATAAATGAATACATTGGTGTGACCCACACACTTAGCTGCATATGGAACGTTTCTATTTCCCCAGAAAGTTGCCCAACATTCCTTCCTAGCTGATCCCTGCCCCTCCTTTTATCCCCCAGGGGCAGCTGCTTTTGTGATTTTCTTCTACCATAGATTAGTTTTGCCTGATGTAGAACTTCATATAAATGAAATCATACAGCATGTACTCTTTTGTGTGTGGCTTCTTTGGCTCAGCAAAATGTCCATTGCTTTTATCCATACTGTTCTGTGTTTGGCTCCAAATTGCTGAAGCTGCTTTTTGAGGTTCTCAGAAGCCAAAGAGCTAGAGGTTAAACTAATTTCAGTTCATAGGAGGGACAGAAAGGAAAGGATGACACAAAGGTGTATAAATTGTGACTCTTCTCCACTACTGCTAGACTCTGAGCCTGGAACCATGTCTTTTATGTCTGTATTATTCTCAGTATCTTGAACAGTGCTGGAACCGTAGGAGGTGCTCCGTAAATGTTCTGTGCATGAAAACGTGTATTTCCAAGGGTGTGAAATGATAGTTGAGTTGGCGCGATCGCCTGTGGACCTGCCAGCTTGGTCTCTGACTGCATCAGCCTTGCAGATTGATGAGCCCCAGAGAGTTGTGTTAGCAGTTGCAAGGTCAATGGCAAATTTGCTCAAAATTGTGGGCAAAGAGGTAGATTCAGCATCAAAGCAAATTTTTATTTTGATGATGATGGCCGTAGTTCTTCTACCACATTGAGCAGATTTTTTCATTTTCTTTTTTCTTAATATATTATTTTGAAAAGTTTCAAATGTACAAAAAAGAAGACGAATCCAGTGAACATTCACATACCCTTGAATTAGATTCATCAATCATTATAGTTTGCAGTATTTGTTTTCTTTCTCTCCCTTCCCTCTCTCTTCTCTGTCTTTCCATACGTGCACACACAAACACACACACGGTACTTTATATGTTTAATCTCTTTTTTTCTTCCTTTTTGTCTTTTTTTACTGACCGGTAACGGGATCGCAAGCCTCGGTGTCGCGCCCGT